TATATATATATATATATATATATATATATATATATATATATATATATATATATATATATATGTATATATATTAGAATTTATATAAGAGGATAAAGTGTGAAGATAACTAAAGATTTCATAATTGATCTCACATGATAAAAGATTTAATTTTTCTCATAAATATATATATATATATATATATATAAGTTCTCAAACCATATTAAATTTTGTATCAATTTTTAATATATTATTTAATTATTAATTTATATATTTTAAATTATCCTTTTCCTCGGTAACCGTATATGACATTCTCTTCTTGCCTTGTTTCCTATATTACTATCCATGTCCATGGCCTTGCTCTCCTGCTCTCCTCTCCCCACCACCCATCTCTCTTAGAGGCTTCAGCTTGGACTCTTCTTTCCCAACAGGAACCGCTCTTTGTTCCTCACCAGGTCTTCTACTGACAGTAGAGCAGGCGTGGTGAGTCTTGCTATTACTCCCGAGGTGAAGCTAGAGAAGAAGGTGGAGGTGGCCGGTTTCAGGGACCCCAGATGAATCAGAGAGACATGACACTCAGAAATAGTTTCACGGATGGAAAGAACGATTGGGACACTATAATAAAACATTATTTTTGCAACTATATTCTTGTCATGATTCTTTCTTTAATTTACTCACACTAAAATACTTCTCTACTTATTTCAGCAGTTCATTTCTAGTGCATAGGATGCAAATTAGAAATACTTTTATTTTTATTTTAAATACTTACAAAAATATAAAAAAGAAAAACCCAGGCTGCTGCAAAATATAGATTATATATGAAGTACCTTAATACTTGAAATCATTATATCAGCAGAAGCAAGAACTTTAGAGTATAGTATAATATCATTAGCAGGGTAGATTATTCATGAACCAACTAAAAATATTAATTATAGTGGCTTGCTTCACAAGACCTCTCCAGGAAACAACCTTCTATGAGAAGCAGTGGCAGGCAACTTGGCAACTGAGTAAGAGCAGGTTAGGTTAATAAGCAGAGGTTGGATTGAGTTCTACCATCAAGGCTTCATCAACATTAGTTGTATGGAAAACTTCATACTGATGTGCAAATCAGACTCATTTTGTAGCTGATTGAAGTTGAAGTTAATAAACCATTTTATCTGCTTTTTGGTCTGTTCTCCTGTTATATGATTCTTGAACTTGTGGTACACTCCCTGTATTCTGCTGTCATCTATCCGATTGAAGTGCAGTGTATACTATATAAGAATTAAGATCTGCTTTCAAATAACAATAATCAGATCATCAAGTTAGAAGTATAAGAATTCACAGTTTTCCTGTAAAAGAAATATTTTTAATTTTTTAAAATAATAATAATAATAAATAAAAAAATAAAAATAAAATAAAATAAATAATGAGAGAAATTCGAAGCTTCTAGAGCCCCATGGTAAGAACTCTATTGACCAAATAGACCGGCTCGGCCCGAATGGTCCAACCGACACGATAAACGAGCAGACCGCTGGAACCCTACTCCCATTTTGTTTCCCAACCGCCCACCGCCCACCGCTCTCGATCCCGTCTCCAATGCCTTTCTTGATTGAATCCAAGTTCTTTTCGCGAAATCTCTGTGTTTTTCTTTTGCATCCATGAGTGACACCGACTGATCTCAAGTTTCGTGTGATCTTTCGAGGGTTTCTTCATTTGTTGTGTTTTTCTTTTTCTTTCGTTCTATAAGATCCGTTCGTAGGGTTCTTCATTTTGTTTGTCTCACCGTAGGTTGAAGTGGAGATTTCGCTGACGTGTAATCTCCTCGAGATTCATCTTTTATCATCGATAATCTCCGCAGCTTTTATCGATTTCATGCGTTTCATTGTCTTTCTTTATGCTTGTTCTTGGGACGTTCTTTTTCGGTTTCGGCTGGGAGATAGCTGGCATTTTTTTTCATCCATTTTGATGCGTTTCGTGTTCTTACCACCTCGTTTGTGCTTTCTTTTCTAGGTTTGGAAAATTGGTATCGTGGGTTTCTTGTCTTCGAGGACTTGTGTATCGAGCTCCCTCTTCTGAAGTGGAACTTTGAGGATGCATTTTGGCAGAACAGAACCATATTTCAAGCTTGCGGCCGCTGGGTTGTTGTATTTCTAATTTGTTTTTCTTTTGCATCAATTTAGCTTTTTTTATAAATTATGTTTTTTCTCTAATAGAAAATGTAGGATTTTGTTGCTTCTCTAAATTCTGGAATCATTCAGCATCTAAAATCTAGGTACATTATTTAATAAATGTGTTTGGAGTCAATATTATTTTTTCCATAGGTGAATAATAGATCTATTGAAAAACATTTTGCAAGTTACTCTAGTTGTGTGCAGAGTACTGATATACTCTAGAACTATTAGCTTACAATCACACTGCCCTAAAAATTTTATGATCACTTTTATTGGCAACTCCATTCTTTCAAGTTCCTTAGGGTAATTCCTGATGTGCCTTATTATAAATTTACGATCTAGTCCTTTTTTTTTTCTTGTCTTAATGAGATTGCTTAGAAAATTTTTATATGTCAGCTTATGATGATATGTTACATAAAGTTGGAATTTCCATATGAGGTTGATAAAACTGTATTTTGATGTAAAGCTTATTAACTGTATTTTTTGTAACATGAGAAAATAATTGTCTTCACTAGGCAATACTAAATTAACTTAAGCTACAACATATATTTTTCTTGTTAACGGAACTTCTATTTTCTTTTAATCACTTCTTGTTTACTAAGGAGTGGTTTTAGTTTTAGTCTATTATCTGAACAAGTCATTATTGCTGTTGTATGCTTAAATTTATTAGTCATGCTAGCCTGATGATTATTATAAGAACGGAGATCTGAAAGGTGATCTTTGTTGAAGTCTAAGTCTAAAACAGCTTGGGCTCCAAAGACAACTATATGCAGATTTCTTTTAGCATATGAAGGCTTGCATGTTCAAGTGTACTTTTTTTAGCATAGTTCTTTTTCATGACAAGGTTATATTGTAAAATGAAGTTGTGCTAATTTGTTATCTTTTTTCTTTTGTTAACGAAAATTGACCTGTTAGAATAACATGCAAGCAATACAGAGGTTTGCTGGTGCATGCTTTGCTGGTTGAAATTTTATCTTTTTCATAAATAGCTTGGTTTTGAAGTATGCACTGTGATCATAGACTTGCACATCGTGAATTTTTTTTTAATTTTAAGAGACTCTATTGCTTGTAATTTCTTGATATAGTATAGAGCTTCAGGTAAACTGAAATTCTTGTTTTAGTTCTGTGGAAGAATAATTATGTTATGTATATTTTTGTTCTTGATTAATATTAGCATTGTCAATTTATCTTAATTTTGATGAAATCATGGATTTTAATGTTTTTCTAGAGCATGATTGTATGGCGCTTCTTGGGAGCTTGAGAGCGACGATGTATTACTTGCTCTCCTTTGTCTATTCCCCTCACATCTTCACTTATAAATTTTATTCTCTCTAACGCTTTATAATTATGTAGGATTTGCATTCAAATTGAGAAATTGGAACATATACATACGTGTCATGGAAAGAGAGGCTTATGATCAGGTTAAGAAGCCTATAAGATTCGAATCAAGTTATCTATAAAAATGTTATGATCCCTAGTCTTCATAGAAAATAATTTGCTTATCATGGAATGAATTACAAATTGCATTGATCTGATATGATTTTTAACTTTGATGTCATATATGTGTCGAGGTGTCTCTATTTGACCACCAAAAAGTCAAAAAAGAAAAATCACCTTTTTGTTAAAATCTAAATATATGTGAGCTTTCTTATCTTTGGACTAAGATTATTCTGTCGAGATGATAGTTGAAGTTATTCTGAGTTTTTCTTGATCTATCTATGATATGCTCGTACTTATTAAATATGAACTATGCTTATAGGAGATTTTATTTTTATTATGGTGACATCCCTCTTGTAAGTGAAAATTACATCTTAAAGTTGATTGTAGAGAATGCCATTTTTTACTTGCAAGCATGTCATCAAATGTGACTCTGAATAATGTGGTCATCCTCCATCTTCGTATTAGTGATCCCTGGTCTTGCTCGACATGGTTATGTTTAGCTTATTCTTTCATAGTGAATAGACCTTGTTGGCTAATTGGGAACTTAAGGCTCCCAAAGATAGTGTGTCGCTAAGCTACTATCTTTCCATGGCTCGATGTTGGTAAGGAGATTTCACCTTTGTTGAAGCACTTCTTCGAGGTTGGTAACGATATGAGACTAGCAATCCAGAGTGATACAAGAGGAGTGGGTAGATGTTAACATGACTTGTTGATTTTGTCCACCTCATCCAACACCAATATTAACAGAAATATTCATATTTTTAGTGTAGCTTACATTATTAAGCAACTGCTAGGGTTGTCGTCACTAAGCTTGGCCCAGAGTGGCCAGTCTCCCTCATGATAAGGTGGCGGCGGTGGCAAAGAAGCAACACCTGCTTCATCGTTCAGCTGCTGCTCCATCTGCTGCATGAGGTATGTGGTTGATTGCTCGCCACCCTTGTCATGTGTTTCAACTCTTTCCTCATCACCACCATCTTCATTCATATTTGCTTCCTCTTTCTTCTTCTTCTTCTTTTTCTTCTTCTTTCCTTCGACAGGACGCTTTGTGTCGTTGCATCCTTCTCCTCTATCAATATCGCCCTCTTGGGACTCGACATCTTCCTGGATGTTTTCCTGGTTTTCATCCTTGGTAGCCAACAACTCTGCAACTTTTCGAACCTTGCGAAGCTTTTTGATCAGAATCGCAGGATCTACGTTCCCAGTGACGATCACCCTCTCCTCTTTTACATCGAGATCGATAGCGTGGACCCCTAAGAATTTCCCAACTCAACATCGAAGTGTACGTATATGCAAAGTGAAGGATCAAACGATGCACAAGTAGAATGACATACCATCAATCTTAAGAAGCACCTTCCTTATTTTCTTTTGGCACCCGACACAGCATGTGTGCACTTTTAGAACACATGTCTGCTTTTCCTCGACAGGAAGCTTTGTATAACTGCATCCTTCTCCTCCACCACTGCCACCGGCATGGGACTTGACATCTTCCTTCTGCGGTTGGGTGTGCTCTTGGTTTTCATCCTTCGTAGCCACTAACTCTGCAACTTTTCCAATCTTACGAAGCTTTTTGATTAGAATGGCAGGATCTACGTTCCCAGTTACGGTTACCTTCTCCTCTTTTGTATCGAGATCGATAGCGTAGACCCCTGAGAATTCCCCGACTTAACATCAAAGTGTACGAGTATACCAAGAGAAGGATCAAGCAATCCTCAAGTAGAATGGCATACCATCGATCTTAAGAAGCACCTTCCTTATTTCCTTTCGACACTCGACGCAGCATGTATGCACTTTTAGAACACATGTCTGCCTTTCCTCGACCGGAAGCTTCGTGCCACTACATCCTTCTCCTCCGCCACTACTACCCTCTTGGGACTTGACATCTTTTTTCTGCGCTTGGGTGTTCTCCTGGTTCCCATCCTTCGTAGCCAACAATTCTGCAGTTTTTTCAATCTTGTGAAGCTTCTTGATTAAGATGGCAGGATCTACATTCCCAGTGACAGTCACCTTCTTCTCTTTTGCATCGACATCGATAGCATAGACCCCTGAGAATTTTCCCAACTTAAACATCAAAGTATATATATATATATATATACCAAGTGAAGGATCAAGCAATGCACAAGTAGAATGATATACCATCAATCTTATGAAGCAGCTTTTGTATTTTCTTTTGGCTCTCGACACAGCATGTGTGCAATTTTAGAACATATGTCTGCATGTGGAGAAAGAGAAACCCAAGTAATCATATGCTCAAACAAAAAGAAGGGATGAATTTACCTTTGTTGGAAGGATCATGTCGTCTTCTTTATCGCTCTTCTTTTCCAGTTGGTCACAATTTTTCGAGCAGAGAAAACAACACTTCATAGATCTGAGAGATCAAAGACAAACAACAGAGAGAGGATGAACAACATGTAAAGCCATTGTGAGATGTCTCGGCTAAGCAAAAACCCAAGAATTCATCTTTTAATCCTTTTGCACTTGCTCAATATCTCATTATAATTGTTTAACTATGTACCATATACCAGATGATTATGCACTCTTCTAATAAATGGAAGAGACTTTACACAATATGAATTCTTTCTTCTCTAAATGAATGATGAAGAAAATTATATATTATTCTGTATCCTTAACTTGCTGCTCCTGACAACATATGGACCGACTGTTCATCCATCTTGTCGGATGTGTCTGTCTACTCTTGATAAGGAAAACAAATGCATTTTGCCTCACTTTATTTACCATATTCATTTCTTAGCATAAAAGCATTTTATCGTGTCCAATGTCCAACATTCATATACATATATGTTTTGCCATGGGCATGAAGCATGTTACATAATATCACATACATATAGTAAAAATCATGTTAAACACACATGCCTAATGATATTAAATTGGGTTTCAAATAATTGATTGACTTGAACCTACCTAAATTGAATTGGCTTGGATAAAAGTTAAATCTGCAGTAGACCTTAGATCAAAGCTAGGTTAGGTCCAAATCAGATCGGTGCTATTGGGGTCCACATTCAAGAACCTAATCCAACAATCATCCCTTCTTTTCTTTTCTAAATATCATATTGTAAATAATTATTATGTCATATAACTAGTTAATTATTATATGATGACATGAACATCATTGAATCTGGTTTACTAACTATTAGATCATGATATAAAATTTTATAAGAACTCATTAGAATAAAAATAGTTTCTACAATGTAAAAACTTATTATTTAAAATATAAAATTAGTGAATATTATTTTTTTATGAAATATTAAGAAAATCAAACGATGATTTCAATCCTTAAACTAAAGATAATTGTGGGAAACCTACATTCCCATAAAAGGCGATGATTCTCACATATGCAGTCTTTAAAGTCGAATTCTTTTGAGGCCGATCAAAAGTGGAAAAGCAAAACGTGTTTGCCCGAATATATAGAGAGGGGATAAGAGAAAATCTCAATTGATATGGTAGTATTTATTCAATATTAACTTATATTTTTAATTAAATATTAGGTTAGTTATTCATATTTAAAAGTAAAAAATAAAGATATGTGTTTAATAATTCGAAAAGATTAGGAAGTAATGAGGTGTATATCAGTTATGGTTTTCTAAATTAAGAAACATAAAAGACTA